ATAAAATTGGCGGGACAGAGATGTGGCCCATCCCGTCCCGTCCCGCGGAGCTCTGGTATAGACCTACTTCAAGTCTCTATGCCCTATCTAGTCACTTCGAAATTCGAATAAAAGTCTTTACAATCATGAAACCAATATTAATCTTATTCTAACGAATATATACGTCGCTGAAAATAAGGAAAACGTTATCAGCCATGTCTAATGCCTCGTTATCATCAGACTATGTTTTTTTTTCTATGCGATATTCACAAAAATAATGCTTTATTTTTTAAAAGGTCCATGTGTTTTTATTAGACAGAATCTTTGACGCATATTCCAATCTTTCCTATGATAGTATCTTTGTAACGATAAGAATGTTTTATCGCGATATCGAACTGTTTTATTTCAATCCACCTTCTCCTTTTATAGTTACACTTTTCTTTCTCCGGGGCGCGTCCCTCAACCGAAGAGAACGAGAAAGAACACGACAAAGAGGAAGAGAGAATACACATGACAATGAGGAAGAAAGTCGTTATGTACATTGATTAAGATAGAACGAGTGCTTATATCGGCACAATCTTGTTATCGGAACTGTAGTACTTTTGATCTCAAAAGTAAAATAAAAATCTGATCACCAACTGTTTTCAGCATACAGTTTACTATACTATTCTGTTAGTATGTGGTACTTGATATGATTTATCTGCAGTTTAGCAACACTCTCACATAAGTTTGTTATGTATAATATGAAGATGAGAATATATGTTAGTTTTTACAATATCAAGAATTCATAATAACAAAAAACTATCAAAAATCTTTGTTGTACCGAACTGATACTATACTTTATCTTTTGTTCATAAACATGGAATATCATGTGTACACTGACTGTGAATGATTTGTACTTAACTTTTTCATTTCATTCAAAGGTTGAGCTCTTACATTTTGTGATTTCTAGTCATATATATTCCATATCGTGCCATGTGATAGATTATTGTTTAATTCGTTGAAACGTTTCTCTCTAGCTTTCAATTGTTGTTTTCATGCCATTTTTTTAACAAGTATTATGAGAGTCTATATAATTATGTATGATTTTTTCTTTAAATAGTTCTTGATTTTATAAATCAAATTTACACCAAGATGAAACATTTTTTTAAAACTTAACTATTAAAATACCTGATGTATAAAGTGTTTATCAAATGTTATAATGTAGTATTTGTTGTATATTTTGAATTTAATATTCATTTTTTTCCTGGCAAATCCACGCAAAAACTATTTCTTTTTCTTATATAAATCGAACTGTTCAATTTAAACATTGTATAATATGTCTGGGAAAACAGTGTTAATTTTCATTCTATTGAAATGAATATGATAAATTCGAAATTTTTGTGTTACAGATTTCTACGAGAAGTGGAGCGATGGTGAAAATATAACTAAACTTCAGTCGTATTCTTTCTCCGAATAGTATGAAATGGAAAATCCTATTCCTAGTTTTATTAAATGAATTCACTGTAGAAGTGTATTAACGATGGAAATATGTATGGACCATGTTTTAATCGAGATGAAACTAAATTAGGAATACTTGAACCACGTTGAATATCACGTAATTCACTACATGCTTTCAGAGCTTGTATAATAACCCAATTTGAGCATGTATCAATATTATTTTTATGTTTATCGATTAATTCTGGGTGTGTGGGTGTGGGTATCAGGGTTTTGCTGTGCGTGTGTCTCATACTTATCTTCAATTACAAACTCACACCTTCCCCACCCCACCCCACGCCCACACCCACACCTTCAAGAAGAAACTGTCGGAACAAGTCAATAAGAATTTGTTCTTACAGCTTTTGTAGAGCTTTTCATGGCGCATCTTTTGAAAAAAAACAAGATTTTATTATTTATCTGGACACCCTAGACTTCTACTATGCAGGCATATAGACAAATTAGATAAATGTTCTGTGGTTTTAATTGTTCGATGGGAATCTTCAAAATTAGGATCGATTTCTGCATGTGTATAACCAACTATAACCAAACATGAATGAAGAAAATCAATTCACCTATTCATGAACAAATTTGATTGAAATTCAATATTACAATATTTCTCATGTAACAAATCAACATCGTTTATAGTGAATTCTCGTTTCGTCGAAAGCCTAATGAATTTCTCCGTTTCGTCCAAAATTTGATTCGAGCTTTTCTCTTAGAGTTCCCTGCTTCGTCGAAAATAAAATGCGATCAAATCAAATATTTAAATTTCTGTAATTGTCTTAAGTAAACTAGTTGTTTCTGAAGAAACTCAATCCATCCTCTCACCGAAGTGTATATACATTCCGTGAAACATAGAAATCCAATATTTATTTATAGATATCTGATTAGATGTATGAAGTTATTGTTATTTTCAAAAAGCGTTTTTTTGTTTTTACAATTTTACGAAAAATATCAATGTAACCTAATGCATTATATACCAATAGAAAGCGCACATAATTCTGAGTCATAACGAATAATTACATAAGAGTTATATGTAAAGATTACGAGAAATATCAGAAAGAGATATTTTAAAAATAAGAATAACTTCACACTCCTATGTACTCTGGTATAAATGATGTCTTCAATACATTTTTCACTATATTTCATGTAATACTTTGTTTAAAAACATCGTAAAAAAATTAACTCTATAATTGAGACGTGAGGGCTGGAGTTGCATGAGGGTGAAGATAATTTGAGACTGTTATACAATTTGGAAAATCGTTAAAACAATAAACATCAACACTAAATATCAACATGAGAATTTCCTAAAAAATTGATAGGATTAGGTGGCATCAAAATCAGTTGAAATTTTGTTTTTCTCTATTAATGTTTGCTCGTCTTGTATTTCTGAATGGTTACTAAATGCTTTTGGTTGAAAAAATTTTCAACAAATTCATTGAGAATAATTAAGCACTGTCTGTAATTCGCATGCCTGAAAAAATATTTCATTAATCAGAGTAATCTATGATTCTCTTTTTTTTCATTCTAATTTTGTTTTTCGGCGAAACGCGAATAACCGCAGTTTTATTTTCATCGAAACGAGAATACCGAGAAAAAAAATTTCGACAAAATGCAAACTAACCTGACGATTTTTAATTTTTCACCATGCTTTCTTCTCTTCTATTTTCTCAACATGACATATTTTTCGACGTCCGCATAGGTAAATACAATGTAAGGATAATGTATACGTGAGAATTTGTGCAAAAAAGAAGAAATAATATCCATTCATGATTTCATTGGACGATGCATTGATGTAACCTTTCTTTCAATAAGTTCATTCATTCTATTCTTCATTAATGCCAACGGTAATAAACATAAACAAAGAACATTTGCCTATATTGACAATTGTTACAGTCAAGATTAAACATGAATCAATCTAGTGTTCATCTTCTTGATCTACCTAATGAGATGTTATTTAATATTTTGAAGAAACTTGACAATGTTGACGTTCTCTATTCATTAGCTGGTATTAACAATGAACGACTTGATAGTATAACACGAGAAGAGACTTTTTCTAAAATCCTCAATTTCTCATTAGTTATTCGTAATACTAAAATAATTGATGCAGTACTTGATCGCTTTTGTAATTATATATTACCTCGAATTCACTACAACGTGAAGTGTCTCATTGTTGAACCCACGTCCATGGAACGTATACTTCTTGCTACTGATTATCCAAATTTGACTGAATTGAAAATATTTAATTTTCAACGTGACAGTTCGTTACGTTATTTTAAAGGTAAGCAAATATTTTACATATCATTAACTGAAAGATCATTATTGTATTTTAATTTAGATGATTCATCTCTTCGATATATCTTCAAAAAACAGATTACAAAACTTGATCTCATCAATAAAGATTGTGAGGTTGCAGTAGGATCATGGGACACTTATACAAAAATTGTGTATGCACATATTTTGACTTACTGCGAAAACTTGGAACATTTGAAGATTATTGCAACACCAACTACTGAATATCCAGGCTTGTCAGTTCGTTATTTACCAGCAAGTGCTTTTTCTTCTTCAACTCTTACTTATTTATGCATTAGTGTAATAACTATTACTGATTGTCTTTATTTACTTGATGGTCGTCTCAAACAATTGAATACATTTATCGTTCGAATTTATTGTACGGAAAAGAATTCATCAATTGTTCACAACACGGTAGGCATGTTTTATCTTTTTTGAGCTTCCCGATTGAAAAAAAGATGTCAGCTATGAGTTAGATACAATTATCATAATCAAGCCTAAACGAAACCGACTTTTTCAACTCTTTAGAAGCGAATAATATTTTCCAATTTTGAGAACTGAAAAGACTTTTTAAAAAGGCATACAGAAGCTCTTGCAGCTCCCTTAAGCTCGTCTGAGAATCAGTCATCATCCACAAGAATCGAAATTGTTAAGTTTTTATTTATGTAATGAAACAGATGAAGAATTTAGACTTACTCTAATAATATAAATAAAGTAATAATTATGAACGGATGTGGAAGTTACTGATTCTGAATTGCTACTTTGGTATTCGTTTAGCTGCCCTTCTATTGTGAGTATATGGTAACATTAAAGCTGGTGTTCTCCACTATTAAAAGTTGTTTCATCTTCATATATCATAGATGTTGTACGTGTATTAGAAGATCAAATCTTGTCTTGCTTGAATCATTCTTATGAAATAAAAAGAAATATTAATAAAACAAAGAAGCTAAATGTATATTAATTCGAAGAAAAGATAAATAAAACCTTTAAAATTATTCGAACCAGTCAGTTAATCCTATCGCTAGATGAACTTTATTACACTCACATTCGTTCGAATTCTGATACCGCTCTATACATATGCCAATATTTCCAGCTATGCTTAAGATATTCGTGCTATTCTCTAAAATGATTTTTTCAATCGTATTTAATTATTTCTCTTTGTAACAAATACTTAAAATTCTATGCATGTACTATTTTCTGAAATTTGTCACAGTCGAATACTTCCATATAGAAACAGAACACTAAAGAGATGTCCAGGTACGCACCGACGAATCTTTTAGACCGATGACTGCATAGAAAATAAGGCGCCTTTTGGTTTGTGAAAACGAATACGTCCGGTACTCTTCAGGTATGTGCATCTTTTCGAGCGGTTCGATTCCCATAATCTTCTTCCTCTAACTGCATCACTGAATATGTGAGATACTTTTTTTTTATGAAAGATTCTTAAGAAACTGTTACGGGCACTATAATTTGTGAATAGCTCCTATGATATCTGGCAGTGGAATACTTTCTCATAGTGGAGAACACCTGCTCTAATGCTACCGCATATTCACAGTGGAACATCTGGTCAAAGAATACTCTTACTTGAAATATGTATTTTATGATGAAATCAATCATATCTCGGTTGAAATCAAATGGACATATACTGAATAGTCAGATAAGCACAACGAAACTAAGATTATTCTGCATCCATTGATTATAATATAATATTTCAATTATTATAGTTATTGAATTGAATTAATTGTCTTTCTTGAAAATCAATCTGTAGTATAAGAGATATTTTACTTAAATTTTTAAACTGCTATCTGAATAAGAAAAAAAAGTTTTCGATTAAACTTGTACTACTGGTTATCACTTTATATTTAAGAAAAGGAAATTATTAATAAACATTGGTCTTCATATTTAGGATGATCTACCTAATCTAAAGTGTTTTTCATTAATACAGTATGATTTAATTGAAGAATATGATAATAAAATTATAGCTCTTCTTCGTCGTATGTTATACTTGGAAAAATTAACTTTATATTTGCGTATCGCTTGTGAAAATGTATTTATTGATCCAATTCGCCTTATAAATGAATTTTCTACGTATTCGCCACGACTTCATTCATTCAAGTTTTATCTTAGTACTGAACATAATATAAATGATTTAGTTTGTTATTTGTCCAATAATGATATTAAACAAAATTATATGAATAAAGGATATCAAGAAGTATCGAATATTGTTTGTTTTGCTGTTGACAGAGCTACATATCATATTTTTACGCTTCCTTTCGAATTTATGTGGCTCTTATCTATTGGTACTATATTTCCAAATATTGTATTCAATAATGTCATCGAATTAAGTGTACATGATGTGGTTCCATTTGAACATAAATTCTTTTTACGAATAGCTAAAGCTTTTCCATTGCTGAGAAATTTTTATGTTTCTGATTTGTCATCACTGTCATATAATGCGAAGAAATCATCTGACAACATTCTATCATATCAAATTGTTGAATATCCATATCTCACTTTACTTGACATTGCAAGGACAAATACTACTTATGTCGAACAATTTCTAAATGAAACCAAAACACATCTACCTTGTCTAACTGAATTACGCGTTGGATATGAAGATTTAAGAATTATTACAGAAGATTTCACAAGAGAAGTAACGCGACGCAATTGTATCAATGTCACACGATTAATTACTCGAAGGCAAATTGTTGGTTCGAAAGACTTCTACATTTATTTTCCTCTGCTGTAGATTGATGGGTGGCATGAATTTCGCCGTACTGACATTCGCCCTTGACTTTCGGCAATTGCCAAAAGTTGTGTTTTTTAAGATTTTTGGCTGTAAAAAGGAGGGATCTTTGGCAATTGCCAAAAGTTCAGTTTGAGAAATTATCGGAAATCTTAATAAAAATATTAACCAACTAATTAATTATAGTAAAGAAACCACACTTTGGACACCCTCAAGATTTCAAGTTGAGAGAAGTCCTTCAACAATGTTATTAGACCTTCTGAGTGATGATATCGTCTAATAAAACATACAGTTTGAATTGATGATGAAAGAGGTAAGTAACAGAATGTATCGAGATGCTAAGAACAGTTTTATAAGAATTAGGAATCATCTATCGCCCAAAGTTCATGAAATAAAATAATTGCCGAAAGTAGAGTTTTTTTTACTATAATTAATTAGTTGATTAAGATTTTTATTAAGATTTCCGATAATTTCTCAAACTGAACTTTTGGCAATTGCCAAAGATCCATCCTGTTTACAGCCGAAAATCTTTAAAAAACACAACTCTCGGCAATTGCCGAAAGTCAGTACGGCGAAATTCGCGTTTCCCAGATTGATTTTTGTTGTAACTTTTTGAATCAGAATTGACAAAACAAAACAATTGTTTTGTTTGCAAGCAACGAGAAAAATAAAATATAAGAAAAAGTTTGTTTTGTTTTGTGGATCTCAAATCTATTTTCGAAAAGATAGTAAATGTAAGCTCAAATCTACATTTCGCGGCTCCCTCTCCCGTTGCAGACCATAATAACTGACGTTTACAAGCCGTAGCAACTAAGATCAAAAGTCATTAAGTGCAAGGTCCCTAGCAACCAAAGACATGCACTAGATCCATAGTTCCTTAGCAATAGAAGTTGAGCGTCTAACTGGATTATGACAAGAGTTTACACTGTTTTAGAACATTCTGGAGGCTTACTTGAAACTGAATCAGCTCGAATACCTTTTTGAATGTTCTGAATAGTGTAGTTTCTATTTTTTTTACGGATAAATGAATATAACCTACGATGCATAAGTATCCGCACAAATGTCGAGGTCTATTGTATTTGAACAGTAAGTGCTGGAAGCCTAATCTTTTCACCGAGAGATAGAGCAAAGTTTATGTTATAAAATGTGTATTTACAATATAGTGTAATATAAAGTCTAAGATGCAAAAATTTTAATTTTTTCGAAACCTCTAAAACTGACTTGTTACAAAAGGAAGTTTTCATCGATGCTTTTCTTGTTTTAACTTGCATTATTTTTACCAAAATAATAGGTTGTGAGTTCAACCTTAGTAAGGAAAGACTGTGAACTCTAGATTTACTGAAAATTGAGTTCCGATTTTCTTCCATGCGGGATGGCCAGAAGTTATTGTCATCATCACAACCAGTAAGTTTCAGAGAGTTCGGCGAAAGTTCAAACAATCTGTAAGAACACCAATATTTTAAATAAATGTAAAATACAGAGTTTTTCTTGTTTACTTTTATTTTCACTAATAATGGTTGTGAACAACAAATAAACATCTTAGAGAAGGAGGAACGGTAACAAAAGTGAAGGATCGTCCATCTATATATTATAGATGACGATCCTGACAGGTGGCAGTTTCAATCTACTAGGAGACGTCAGTAACTTAGAAAGATTATACATTCGTTTGACTTAAACCATGATCCTCTCACTTTCACCTCCATCCTTTTCCCAACCAAAGCTACATGATTGCTCAAAATTTGCATCCCGTTGCAAAGAATTAAAGAAAAAACATAGTCAAGATACAAAGAACTTTTAATTTTACCTTAATAACAAGTCGGTTTTAGTGGTTTTACAAACATTAAAATTTAATATCTTAAACCATATTTTTACACTATATTGTAAATATGCATTTTACAGCACACACAAACTTTGTTCTATCTGTCGGTGAAAAACTTAAGCTTCTAGCACTTTCTGTTCGAATACAACAGACCTCGACATTTGTGCGGATACATATGCATCGTAGGTTAGTTAGGGCTGTGTGATGTATTGTTTAAAAAAAGACATTAAAATTAATCTTTGAAGATTAGAATTGGGAGCACTTTATCGATTATCACTCAAATAAAGTACTCATTTTAAAATACCTTGAATGATCAAATAAAAATATAAAAAGTGTAAATATATGATATAGTGCACGTGTTTCAAATGAAATATTCTTGGTACAATTTTGTTTTATCTGAGATAATTATTTAAATGCATTATCTCGATATCATTATGAAATGTTTATCTGATTTGACGAAATAAGAATATCGAAGTTCATCTTTGATCAGTCTCAATGGTTATGTCGTCAATGTTAGTGTAATTACGAAAAATAATAATAATGACAATTATTATTTATTCCTTTTTTCCTTAATGGATGCAACAACTGTACGCATAACAAAGATTTCATTAAAAATTTCATCGTGTGGACTTCATAGACGTTTGCAAGAATCAATGTTTGATAGACATGCTATTTGTGCTATCGGTTCACGGAAACAAAATAGCCAGTACTTATGTATCAGTTCAACATGAATGATTGATAAAGAATTAACATTTCATCCTACCTGTGTTCGTGTACAAGCTATCAAAACTTTAAGAAATAATGTAACTGAGCGGTTATTTACTATTGAAGTTAAAATTTGTGAAATTGTAGCTGATATATATTGCATTTTCGAAGTATCCAATTATAAGGTTTCGCTCCTCAAAAATAATCTCAGACCTAGCATGAGTCAAATGACCTGAAATTTGCAGGATATGTTGGGGCTGTAGTGAAGAGACTATGGTAAAATTTGTAGCCCTATTGCTATGACGTTTTTGAGGAAAATATTAATTTGTTCTTCAAGAGCATGTCAGGATACAGGGCCTACCAGAGTTCAGTTTTTTTTAATTCTTACTTTAAGTGGAGAAAATGGATCACAAGTTGAAGGCCTCAAAAACTCTCTAAAAATGGCGTTTGACTTATGCAACTGTCTATATATATATACTAGAAACAAAGGTTAATTAAAAAAAAAGAACTCGGGTAGGCACTGCAACTTGGCATGCTCTTGAAAAACAAAAAAAAATATTAAATGGATGGAACAGATGCTGACAGAGAATTCTTCCTTGCATGATCGAAAAAACATGAACTGAAAAAAAATGAAAAAGACTTTCCGTTTTATCTGAAAAAGCATATTTTTGAACAGAAATTGTCAAAAACTTTGGTCAAAAGAGACGTTGGAGAGAAAATCATCATTTCTGAAAGATCTAAGGACAGGCTATCTTCTCGTGCATTTATCTCAATGTCGGAACTCATGACAAAATTATCTTTTTTGAGGGGGGGGGGGCGGAGGACCTGATGAAAGTACAAAAGTTGAAAAAGATAACTGTAGTTGGTAATACAACTGGTGAACCTGAACTTACATTATGAGAATCTCATTTTGATCAAGTTATAATAGGGAACTCTTATCAAATTAAACTCATCAAAATTTATTTAATTAATTGTGAAATATCGTTATCAGCAAATAGTGCTACATTGTATGCGTTTTTTATTTATTGTACAATAATGAATTCTTTATATCGTTAGATTTATACAAATAGACGATTTAGGTATTGTTAAAGCAAATGTTGAATGCTTGATAATAAGTTCACGTACTTGTCAAGACTGAACTATGAAGACATTGGCGAATCAGCCAGAATATGCATGTCAGGCACATGGAAATTGTGATGTTACACAACAAAAATTCTATTTTATGCAACATTTGTCAATCTCGTATTATTAAGTGTGATACAAGAAACATCGATCTACTAAAAATTTACAATAATAACAGATAATTGAGATAGTATGATTTATCGCTGTCTGAACCAATGCTGTTATTAATGTTGTCAACTGCCAATAAATCATATACTAATTTCACCCACGTTACCAATAAATAGTATTATGAAATCCATTAATAGATCTAATGGTAGAGTTCAAATTTAACCAAAATACTGATACAATTTCTGAAATAAAAAGCTAAACATACACTGGAGGTATCCATAAATTTAAAATTTATGAGAAAAATGTCAATATTTTGTATATATGTAGAAAGTGTTGGTAATTACTGAAATACAAAACTTTTATTTCTTTTAACAACTCGTATGTACACATCAACTACAATCAACAAAAGAAAAAAATTATTTATCAATCGATAAAGATTGATATTTATATTTCAAATACTGAATGGATATTTATGCAGCTAAAAATATGATGTTATTTACATTCTCTATTTAGAGAAAAAACAAATTTTTATTGTTATTGATTTAAACTTAGTTTATAAAAAAATATTTTGTTATAAATTATGATTAGGTTGAGGTTGTACAAATTATTCATATTTATCTTATTCATAGCATCAACCCGAGGATGACCGTATAAATATGGATCGAAAATTGTGATACCTTTATTGTAAAATCTTCTTCTGACAACATCTCTCACAATCAGAAGCATATATACCATGGCCCTTCTCTCTCAAAATGCACATCTCACTCTTCCATGCCTTCGAATAGCACTATGTATCAAAAAAAAATGCAGAACAAAAACAGCAGGGTGTGGGGTGTGGGTGTGGGTGTGGGTGTGGGTGTGCTTATGGATGAAGAGGAAAATACACACCCACACCCACACCCTCAGGCACGTGAAAATTAGTTTTGAGATGTGTTCGATCCAAAATATTTCATACTTATTTCTGCCCGTATTGTGTTATTAGCTTCTTCATACTGTGCTTTTTTGGTTTCGAGGTCTTGTATAAGTGCTTCAATTCCTCCTCGTTCGGCTTGAGAAAGAGCATTATTATTTAATTTTTGTCTTTCTGTTGATATTTCACCTTCGATGCTACTTATTTGTGACTTGTTGCGGGTTACCTAAATAAAACAAAAGAGTTTTCAATAGGTATATTTTTGTATCGGATTACATCGGATTTAGGTTGGCCAATGCCTGACATTTTTCCTAAAAAGAAAAACTTGTTAGCGGAGCTCCGTTGAAAATGAAATGTGAAACTCATATATCCTAAGTTTTATTATTCTAATGAGTAAAAGCTTGTTAGTGCAGTCCCTTTGGGACTGAAATGCGGAACTCACGTATATTCTTCAGCTTCATTAAACTAATATGCAATATACTTAGGATTATCCAAAAGTAGTGGCGGAGTTACTTTTTTTTTATAAAAAGCTTGAAAAAATTTTCCTTTTTTATGAACAGATAGAACATCTTTCGCTCTATTTTTCTATGCTACTTGATCGCTATTCAACTAATATCATAATAATAAAATTACGCTAAGAATTGTTTTTGTTGAAAAATGGACAAAATTCTGAACGACTAAACTTCGACGTTCCGAAAATGAGATTGTTTTCTGGTCAAAGACGAATTCGATTTTTCCTATCTCATCTTTTTATTATCTGATATGTTTTCTTTTAAAAAACAAAATATACTACAAGATGCAACCTGGAAAGCTCTACAATTTACAAAGAACAATTATAAAAAAATGAGATAGAAAGAACCAAATTCGTCTTTCGTCAAAAAACAATCTCGTTTTCGCCACGTCAAAAGTTGGTCGCTCAGAGTTTTGTCCATTTTGAAAACAAAAAGTGCAACTATAAAATAAGCGGTCCTTTAGAGATTCTAGAGCTTTTCACGCTGCATCTTGTGGTATATTTGGTTCTTTTAATACAACGTATTAGATGATGATAAAATGAAATGCAAAAGGGCCCCATTTTTTATGCCGCACTCATTATAATCTAAATGCTACCAGCGAGTTTTCAACAAAAGCAATTCTTATCGAAATTTTATTGTTATGATATTACTTGAATGGTAATCAAATAACATAGAAAAATAGAGCAAAAGACGCTTCATCTGTTCATCAAAAAAGAAAATTTTTTCAAGCATTCTATAAGAAGAAAAGTACCTCCGTCATTACTTTTGGATAACCCTAAGTACATTGCTCATATACCCAGACAGAATGAATGTTTGTATTTTAGGATAGGAACAACAAAACGATCTGAAACTTTCACAATAAAATATTCTCGTTAAGACCTATCTCTATGCAAAGTTTCAAGTCAAAATTTGGAAATAAGTTTTTCTGATATTCTTGAGGGGGACCACGGCATTCTCTTAAAAGATTTTGACATTCCTTAAACTCTTGTCCATAAAAGAGACGAGATCTTAATAAACCAATATCAAAACCGATGTATACTATTCAGGTACTTTCATTTTATAATGTTTCCAGAGTGGAAAAAACTCGATGACTTTTGACACCTCCCTTTCAGGTCAAAAGTCTGTAATTTGATTGTTTCGGTCAATGCCTAGGTATGGGTTGAACATTCGGTAAAATGACCATAACTTTTGAAGAAGGAGTCATGGGCAGAAATCTCTTTAGATTTTTCACTATCTCAATATATTCGATTGAATGAGATATAAATGAACTAAAATGGAGCGTTACACCTCGGGTGATTCTCTCATAAGCATTGGTATATAAAAATCAGTGATACTACACTAATACTAAATACATTTTGAATTTTACTTAAAAATCATTTATAAAAAAATACATGACCTGTCGACGAATGTCGCTCCTCCTCATCAGGAGAATGAGAGATAAAGTAAAAGTTACAAGTATTAAATAGATAGAAAAAGAACAAAAGAATGTATGTGAAAAAAACAGATATTTTAAAAAATATGTGGGTTTTTTACTTCCGAAAAAATATGTATTCTTTTTTCTTTCCATACATTCTTTCTTTCTTTTTCTGTCTGTTTAATACATATAACTTTTACTTTATCTCTCATTCTTGTGATGCTTCTGAGTGATACTCGTTAACAGATCACGTATTTTTTATAAATGACTTTTGAATAAAATCTAAAATGCGTTTCACAGTAACGTGGTATGCACATTTAAATATTTATTTTTAGCTTCTTCACCAACCAACTTTATCTTATGATATGGCTGGATTAGAGTCCTGCGGGACAATTCGAAAACATTCCGTGTCCCGAGTTTTAAAATCATTTCTTAAAAACGTGTGATGCACTTTAAACTTTTTATTTGTAACAAACATGTTAATGTTTAAATGGAAAGCAGAAAAAAGAAATATTGGAAGATGTGCTGAAAACTGTTCATCATCATTATCTTTTCCAGCTGTTTCTTCATATAATTATTGACTTTCTGCAGTCAATTTAAATTTTTTCTGGTGTTACAGAAAGTGTTGAGTTTTCTTCCTTTAGACACTTCAACAATTAAAGGATAAATTTCATTTAAAACTCGCATATTTCTCGCAATAAATAACAAATTATTAATTTTATCTGTATATAAACGTATATGTGCTTTTTCGAGTGTATGAAAATTAATCGATACAAAAATTGATCAACGTTAATTGGTTCATACGAAAATTAGCCGATACGAAAAATAGGCGAATTTAATTAAAACAAAATAACTTTCTTAGTAGAACTTGTAGTTGATATTAATGAGTTAAATAATGGAAAAAAAAAGAATTTTCACAATGATAGACAAACTGCTGATATACAAGAGAGCATATGTGTGTCAGATATATGGAAGTTATTATAGACATGCATTACCTCAAATAAGCCAATACATTTTAAATAAAATCTATCACAATAAGCTCGATTTGACTGATCTAATAATCATTAGATTAAAATATTCTTCGTCGGTTACATAAAAAGCTAAAATATTATGGAAACGGGAAAGTACTATTTTTCTCCAATATAAACATTTACTTCGAGCACAACAAGGTGTGTGAGTGTAGATCTTCGACCCACTGAACCTATAGTCACACGCACACCCTAACTCTATAATTGTATCAACACAGTTAGTATTAATTCATATCTCAATTTCAGAGCTACCAGTTTCTATTTTTGATAAAAATGAATTTATTTTTATCTATAAATTTCTCGATCAATTTTTGCTCGACAAATTTTCGCTCTTCCTCTTTTTTCCTATGGATCAGATAGAAAAGGTCTTTTGTTTTGTTTGACGGAACTACTCAACATTTAAACATTTTTTTTGTCAACCGGACAAACGGGGTTTTACGGGACAATTCGAAAAAATTCGGGACACGACAAAGTTTGTCCCGCAGGTCTCTAGGCTGGTTATAAAAACGACGAAAGAAAAAATATCGAAAAATAAATATGAAGGAAAGAATATTGAATAAATGTTAAATCAACTTTGGTCGAAGAAAAAAAAGTCGATTATATACAATGTCAAAAATGTATACCATAATTGGCAACTATAATATCTATATGATTGTCATTATTCAGGTCAGCTGTAGTAACTGAAGATGGATGAGAATCATAACCTGTTGAATAATTTATTTGATTAGTATAGGGTGTGTGGGTGTGGGCAGCGGCGTAACCAGGGGGGGGGGAGGCAAATGGGCAATTGCCCATTTCATTTTGAGTCTTGCCCATTGTAATTTTCATTAGTTAATTTTTGCCCAGTGAAATTTTACTTTTTCACAATTATTTACTTTTGAATAAACTGGATACTGTCTTTTTTCTTTCGTTTGAATCGCATATCTATCCTCTCCTTATTCTTATGAAGAATTAATAGAAGAAAACAGAACAAAAAAAAATGACCAACGCATAATTGTGCATACGTATCTATATGTATACTTGTTCTCTTCTATTATCTTCTCTCAAAATGCTGACTTGAAAAGAAAACGATTGAACTATAACCTATCTCGTCCAGTTTACCGTCTTATTTCTTCTTTCGCGCTACTATATTATAAGAAAAGCCTAAAGAAAAAAGGAAAAGAACAAGAGCAAATATGCTTATATAAAATTGCGCACTTACACTTATCATTTTGTTGTTCTCTTTTGTCCTGTTTTAAAAGACTAATACTGAGCCATGCCAACTGGAAAATGACCCAATACGCAGTGGCGGATCCAGAAACTCAGTAAGGGGGTAGCACTCCTGGTCAAAAAGTCTTTTTTTGAAGCCTGTTTGAGGCAATACGACTCTTTTCTGTTTCATTTTTGCTGGGAAAAATCAAAAAAATTCGTGAAGGGGTTCCCCTCGCCGGTTAGCTGTAATGGTTGATCCGCCAGTGCCAATACGTTATTAAGTCATCACTTTTCTTTGAAATATTGAAATTATATGTAAAAATATACAATTTTCGTCTTGATTTTGATGTTTGAATTTCAAAACCAAATGTTATAAATAGAGACTGAAGATAGAATAAAATATTTCTAACTCAACAAGTCTGAGGAAGGCTTAAAATTTGAGTTTCATTTCATATATATTAGATTAAAAGAATCTCATACTTTTTTGTGTAGTTAAATGAACATCATTTTATTTTATTTTTTTGTGCTTTTTCTACGTTATCAATACTTTGTTGGGTTAAAAAATTTGGCCCATCAATGAAAATCTTGCCAGTTTTGCCCATGGTTTTTTTTGACTTAATGGAAGTTTGCCCAGTGGTCTAAAAATCCTGGTTACGCCGCTGGGCAAGGGGGAAAAGGTGATTTATGATTTCGTGAGTTAAGGTGATTTTTGTCAGTTAAGGTGATTTTTTTGATTTAAAGTGATTTATTTGATTTAAAATGATTTAAAGTGATTTAAAGTGATTTAAAGTGATTTAAAGTGATTTTTTTTGTGTTAAGGTGAGCTATCAAGTTGAAGTCTGCAGGCGGAAGAAATTGATTTCTAATCTTAAAAGTCACGGGGAATCACAATAAATCACTAGAAATCAATAAATTAGTTTGCTCCCCTTGCTTTGAATCGAATCCATTCATTATAAATGCACGGTGAACTGCACATCATTTTCTTGTCAGAAGCATAGAAATAGATGGCTCTGTTATTTATTTTTCTTTTAGAAGTAATATAACATGGAATAAAACAAACAAAAAAAAATTATTTTTTCTCTTGAACCCTCTTTAGTCTATCAGACGACAAAATAGGTTTAGTTTTAGAAAAATACTAATTGGCTGTTTGCTTATGCAAGTATTTTTTCTGGCCATTCACTTCCACAGAAAAGAAAGATTCATTTTGACAGTTATCAATAGAATCAAATATACGCATTCCATTGACGGTGGAACTAGACACTTCTGGAAGAACATCAAAGTCAAATTCGTCGATTAGCATTGATTCTTCGTCTTCATTCGTGGTGTTATTTTCACTATAACGCTTGTCGAGTTGATGTTGTTCCTCATTCTTATCGTCATCATCAAATTCGTTTTCGATTTCCTCTTCTTCTTCAACTTTGTTTGATGCACTAGTTTTCTTTTTAGATATTTTACATTTCGATTTTGTTAACTTCTTGTACGCTATCTGATTTACTTCTTCGAAAGATATAAGTTCTTCACTAGAATCAAGTATAGAAAATTCACAACCAGAAAGAATTTCTTTCGCTTGAACATAGGCGTTAAGGGGCTTCCCCCCCCTCAGGAATCGATTTTCGTTATTCCTGGACCGATTTGTCTGAAATTTTTAGGCAATATGGGTGTTGCGTTAACTCAATTCCTTGCAAAGTCTTGGCTCATCAATTTTTTGCTTTAAAGAGTTATTGACAAATTAGTGCCCAAAACGGTGGTTCTCGTAAGGTACCGATTTCTCGAACTGCCAAAGACTTAGAGAGCTAGTTTTTATTTCAAATAAAAGAAAAAACCTATGTCTAGAAATGTACATACCGTTTTTTCGAAATTCGATTTTGTTCGGATATCCGAGACATTTTACTGTAAGAACTCGGAATTTAGAGCTTTTTGACATCAGTGTTATCCAGTAATCTCTGCAAAAAAATCGCATTTCCAAAAAACGCTATGTGCATTTCTAGATATAGGTCTCTTCTTTTATTTAAAATAAAAAGTAGCTCGCTAGCTCTTACACAGTCTGAGAAATCGGTTCCGAACTCTCCAAAAAAGTGATTTTGAGAAAACCAATCAACAAGTTGTATGAAACAATTTTTACTTTCACTATGACTGTCACGACATCTATACAGCAATTTCGTCATATGTATAGGATTTTAAGCAGAAATGACTACGTTCCACTAATTTATTAATATAACAGAACGCATACCTGTTTCTCATTAGATAAAATCTACCAGTTTATGGACCCATATCACATCCCCACAATTAAGAAAAATTTCTGAAAAAACCTTATATTTTTACTACTGCTTCCAGAAAAACGCCATTTTCACCGCCAAAAACCATTCAAAATGGGACAAATTGCGCATAATCTGAAAAAGGATACTTTGGGCTCTCAGTATATGTGCTTTTCTCAAAATCGATTTTCTGAGGGGGGGTCCTCCCTTAATAGAATATTTAGTTTGAATTCAATCACATTTTGATTAACTGTCAAGTCGCTTCTACGAAATTATTTGTAGTACATGGAAATAAATGCATATCAGCATGACTAATTTACATTCATAAAAATTCATCCATATGTTTTTATTTCTTTGTATTTAACATTATGTTGTGAGTGTTCTTCGTGTATTTCAGCACACGCATATGCGCATTCTTATTTTAGATAATGATATTTTCAAAATAAATTTCATAATACGAATGGTTTTCTTCTAATAATAAATGGCAAAAGAAAACGAACTAAATTTGTGTCTCATTTGTAGCAAACCTCCAGCAAAATACTTTTGCACTGCATGTGAAAAATACTTTGGGGTGAGTATGTCGGCTCATGCTTCAGACTGATAGTGATTCCCACATCTACACCGATTTGACCAATAGCATTTTGTTTCCAATCGCGTAATGGTGGAGTAAACTGAATTGAACTTGCTTTTAAACAATCAAGCGAAATTGTGATCAGAGCATGTTTCGTTAAACAATGACGATTGTCTTTTTTAGTTATACGGATAGGTTCGTTCTTATCATTTGGAATATCAATATTTGTCACGATAGTATTTAATTGAATAGGTAGAGGATTTCGTTCAACTATCTGTTGCATAAAAGTACCTAATCCAATAGGAAGAGTAAGATCACATGTTTTAATACCACCATCCGATTTCGAATATGATTTAACTGAGAGTTGATCAAGATTCGATGCTTCATAATGTTCAATATAGGCAAGGTTCATTTCGACAAGACGACGCATTTGTTCATCTTGAATTTTTTCATATTTATCACGAATAATATCCAATATAGAAATATCTTCATTGTCTAATGAATATTCTTTCATATTTTCACATAGATCATCAACAAAACTTTCGGCTTCATGTAGTAAACTTTCAGATAGTAATGATCCATCAATATCATAAAAAGCAGTGTTGGAACCATGAAAAAAATGATGAAAAAATTGATCTTTATCAGAAGGAGTATGGTGTACAGCAAGAGGATTTTCTGGCCGATAATGATGAATCCAACGGGCACCTAAATCAATAGGTTCACTACTATTAGAAGTGTGTGTATCCGTATAAGCTCGACCACCAACACGATCGCGAGCTTCAAGAATTGAAAAATTCGGAATTGATGAATACTTTTGAAGTTCTAATCCAGCGGCTATACCAGCTGGACCACAACCAATGATTATAATATCATATACACTATCAGACGTGCTCATCTTTTAGATATTGTTTTACTTTAGTACAAAGAGCGGACAAAAACGGTATGCACTGATAACAGTAATTGGTAAATCATGGAAAATGAATTTCATTAGATATTTTCTCTTTCATTATAAGATGATAATAAAACGGGATAAGCACTTTTTCTTTGTTTGTTAGAAGAAAAACTTCGATTTGAAAATCCTAATTATTGCCCGATTTGACTTGTAATTCATGTAACGAGGTCGCTTGAAAGCGGTCCTTATTTGTATATTTCAATATATTATCTATTTTCTACGTGCCATCATGTTCCAGCTGCCTGGTCATTTTCAACTAAATGAAATGCACAAATTCTTGCGTTTCTCGGGCATTCTACGATAATCATTGAAATTAAGATCGACTCACACCCACAATATAAAATTATCCGCATGCATAAGAGACAAGCACACTACTCGTAGTCCAGTTTTCAATATACATTTGAACAGTAAATAAATAATATTTTCTTTATTATGGCATAACAAAAAAAAGGAAGCGTCTTTTTTCAGTTTTAAAAATAATCATTGCATGAGCATTGTCCATTTGTATAGAAGTGGTGAATACGGTTTGCATCACGAACAACAATTTCACATTGACGAAGAGCAGCAATTATTTTTGTCACTCGATCTAAACAAAATAAGAGAAAAATAAGAGAATGGAAAATAAAAGTGATTAACTTACGACAATCACCACAAACACGAAGATTTTTCGTAATTTGAATTATTTTTGGTTTTCGATTATCGATAAAATGAGCTGCAATAGCCAACCTTTCACTATGCCCGCAAAGAACTGATTCAATTGTTTCATCAGGTTGCAACGGTCGTGTAATCCAACTTGAATCATACTTATGACCATATTCAATAAGTTCTTGTGATATTCGATCAGCTTCAATGTAAATATCAGCTGATCGAGGATGAGATTGATCATGAGCACGAAATTGCTAAGAAATTAAATCAAGACAAATTCCAAGATGTGAATTAGAAAACTACATTAGATTACCAAGATTTTCCCGTCAATTTCAGTTATTGATAAACCGACTTTTTTCTTTGCACCCGATTTTTCTAATTCCATTCTAATGTTTGATGCCTTTTCATGATCGCCTGTTGATGCATAAACATTAGAAAGAAGAATTGAGGCTGACACCAATGAACTTTTTAATTCAGGAAAATGCTTTTTCATACGATCGAAAATGTTCTGTGATAAATTAGCATTTTTTTCATTACGCGCACCTGACAGCAATGCCACTAAAATTAAAATAAATTAGTTTTTCCTTTAAGTTTATCAGAGACAAATCTCATATTTGAGCGCAATAGAATAATTTAGTTTTTTGCCTATTTTTTCCTTCTAACCAATGTAAATAGGGCAAACAATTCATAAAAACGAACTTCTATCGGCTTATAACATGTTAGATTTGTAGTTGAAAAATTTTCTGTAGATTTTACCTTCAAGAAATTTATTTAACATTGTTACAAAAGAGTTTCTAAGAAATAAATTCGATATGATTTCAAATCAAATTTTTATTTCCATTAATCAATTTGAAGTAAAACTTCATTTCATTGTAGAGGCACGAATAGCATATAGCTATTTTGAAAAGGTTAGACCTTAGAAAGGTTAGATCAAATAATCAAAACTTTATTTGATTATATAAAATTATCTTCTCGTATAGAGAAAATATTATAGAATTCTTCGAGAACTAAAGATATTGAGTCGTTGAATGTTTGCACATGATAGTGTAGTTCTGTGATTTTAGCTATTAAACCAGAAATTTGTTTTTCCGCTGACGAAAAAGTAAAATTGTTAAATATTTCGAAGCCTTAATTGATTCCGATTAGAAAACAAAGATATATAGTAGAGTATTCTAATGATTAAATATAAATCTTCTACCGAATCAATAGTTTCCTGTCTATCATTTCATTTTTCTCATATTTTAATTAGATAAAAATCGAATTTATTCGATTGAATAATTCGTCAAAAAAAAGTAAAATTATACGTCATAACTGTCAAAAATTGAATCAGATAAAAAGCCAGATCGAGATTTCTATCAAATATTCTACTTTTGCGATGGATACTAACTGTACATCGACCATACAGGCATATGATCACGTTCGAATTGATCAATCAATTGCTGCGCTTCGTCAAATACAGCAGCACGACTAAGACAATCAATCTAGTCAAACATAGATCGATCAATTGTTAAAGTCAGCTAAAATAAAACATAATTTTTGACATACCATAGTTGTATAGATAATATCGGTTTTGATTGAAATATTATTGAAAATTGAACGAGCTATAGCAACGAGTCCGGAATGCGAACAAGCGTTCAGAACGCAAACATAAGCCGATTCATCGATGAATTCTTTTGGCATTTTACGAAAGAGTTCCACCGCTTGCATACTCATTCCATTCAAGCCATAAGAATTAACTAATTAAGCAAGAACAAATGATTTGATATCTATTTTCTTTTTGAATAAGTAAAACAGACTCATGGCTGTATATCCAATATGATCCAGTTGAGATACAGTTTTAAAAATTCGTTCCGCTTCATCCATGGAACCAGTTTTCCCCTAAGTTTTATTTTAGAACAAAAGTGAAGAAAATAATTCTATTTGAAACGTACCCACATACTGATCAATGAATTTTGAATTCGATAATCGCTAAGATAGGAACTTGGAATTTGTTGAACCATCGATTGGGATATTGAAAAAATGCCTATATCAGCTAATGCTTTGATCAAGCAAAGGTAAATAGTTATATCTGATCGAGAAAATTCATTTTTCATTTTATTAGATAAATTCAATATTTTGTCTTGATTATTTTCTCTTTGAAATTCATCTTTATGAATATTATTAAAAATATCAATTGCTTTAGGTGCCATATCGTTTATTATAAAGCCTGAACAAGCAAAACACATGTTTCATTAAAAATATTATTGTTAAATGGTAATTAGTGTTACCTTTCATCATAACACTATATACAGATAATGTATGAATTTTTGATCTTTCAAAGAATGATTGAGCATAAATTGTATTACCACATTTCATCAATGCATCAAGTAAAGATGATAAAAGATTAGAATCCGAAAGAAAAACTTGAGGAATATTTGAAGACACTTTTTTTGTCAAGTTTAATGCTTCTTCTGTTCCTAGTTGCGCACAAGCATTAAAGAAAAGAAGATACAGAACTCGATCAGGATTTTTAATTTGATTGAATATATTAATTGCTTTAATGGCCATGCTATTTATTATGAAACCTGTAAAAAATTACGATTAATTAAAGAAATAAATGAATACCAAGATGATTATTACCTTTCATCATAGCTCCATAAATGAACAAATTTCTAGTTTTTATTGTATCAAATAATGATTGAGCAGCAAGTGTATCACCGCATTTCATTAATGCATCAATTAGAGATGTTTGAATAAATGAATTCTGATGAAAAGCTTTCGGCATATTCGATGAAACATTTTTTACTAAACTTAATTCTTTAGCTGTTCCCAATTGAGCACATGCATTAAATAAAAGATTGATAGTAACTTCATTCGGATTCTTGATATCATCGAACAGTTTAATTGCGTTATCAGCCATATTATTTATTATAAAACCTTTGATAAAAAAAAGATGCATATATAATAGACGAATTTATACACATAAGAATAGTTGTTACCTTTCATCATTGCAGTATACATAGATAATGTTTTCATGGTTGACGTTTCAAATAATGATTGAGCATAAACTGTATTACCACATTTCATCAATGCATCAATTAAAGATGATAAAAGATTAGAATCGGAAAGAAAAGCTTGAGGAATATGTGAAGATACTTTTATTATCAAATTTAATGCTTCTTCTGTTCCTATTTGTGCACAAGCATTAAAGAAAAGATTGACGATAACTTCATTGGGATCTTTAATTTGATTGAATATATTAATTGCTTTAATGGCCATGCTATTTATTATGAAACCTGTAAAAAATTACGATTAATTAAAGAAATAAATGAATACGAAGATGATTATTACCTTTCATCATAGCTCCATAAATGAACAAATTTCTAGTTTTTATTGTATCAAATAATGATTGAGCAGCAAGTGTATCGCCGCATTTCATTAATGCATCAATTAGAGATGTTTGAATAAATGGATCCGAATGAAAAGATTTTGGAATGTTTAATGAAACTTTTTTTACTAAACTTAATTCTTTAGCTGTTCCCAATTGAGCACATGCATTAAATAAAAGATTGATAATAAATTTATCTGGATTATTTATTTCACTGAAAAGATCGATTGCTTTTTTCGCTTGTTTATTTCTTATATAGCCTAGAATTAACGAAATGAATATGTTCAAATTACAAAACTTGTTCTAACCTTTCATCATTGCGCCATAAATGTTTAATGTTTTCTTCGATGATCCATCGAACAAAGATTGAGCACGATCGATGTCACCACATTGCACTTCAATGAAACACTTATGATAATAGCTTTATCATATTGTACATCATGATATTAAAACCGAGAGATATTTGTGCATTTATGAAAACACTTTTCTAAAATTTTTGATCGAGTCGAAACTGATATTTAGCTTCAGAATTCGTTGGCTTGACCACAAATAAATTTCTCTCTTTCAGATAAAAGTTTTATATCGAGTATTATCGAATTTATTGCGCTGACCATAAATATTATATTATATTTTATTAGAGTCTGGCACAATAATGCGAAACCTCACGACTTGCTAGTTCCGATTTTTCATAGAATTATTATAGAGAAATAAATCATTTGCGATTCTAAAGTTATGTTGAAGCCATTTATGTAATCTAGACCTACTTCAAGTTTCTATGCCCTATCTAGTCACTTCGAAATTCGAATAAAAGTCTTTAAAATCATAAAACCAATATTAATCTTATTCTAACGAATATATCCGTCGCTGAAAACGTTATTAACCATGTCTAATGCATCGTTATCATCAGTTAGACTATGTTTTTTTTCTATCTGATATTCACAAAAATAATGCTTTATTTTTTAAAAAGCCCATGCGTTCTTATTAGGCAGAATCTTTGACAAATATTCTAATCTTTCCTATGATAGTATCTTGTTACCGAAACTGTAGTACTTTTGATCTCAAAAGTAAAATACAAATCTGATCACCGACTGTTTCCAGCATACAGTTTACTATATTGTTCTGTCAGTATGTGTTACTTGATATGATTTATCTGCAGTTTAGTAACACTCTCACATAAGTTTGGTAAGTATAATATTGGAATTATTATGAAGATGAGAATAAATGTTAGTTTTCACAATATCAAGAATTCATAATAATAAAAAATTATCAAACTGACGCTATATTTTATCTTTTATTCATAAACATAGAATATCATGCGTACACTTACTGAGAATGATTTGTACTTAACTTTTTCATTTCATTCAAAGTTTGAGCTCTTAGATTTTGTGATTTCTAGCATATATATTCTGTATTGTGACATGTGATAGATTATTGTTTAATTCGTTGAAACGTTTCTCTCTAGCTTTTAATTGTTGTTTTTTTGCCATTTTTTTAAACAAGTATTATGAGTCTATATATGCATGATTTTTTTCTTTAAATAGTTCTTGATTTTGTAAATCAAATTTACACAAGATGAAACATTTTTTTAGAACTTAACTATTAAAATACCTGATGTATAAAATGTTTATCAAATGTTATAATGTAGTATTTGCTGTATATTTTGAATTTGATATTCATTTTTTTCTGGCAAATCCACGCAAAAACTATCTCTCTTTCTCATATAAATCGAACTATTCAGAATTTGAACATTTTATGATATGTCTGGGAAAACAATGTCAATAATTTGCATTCTATCGAAATGAATATAATGAATTCGAAATTTTTGTGTCACAAATTTCTACGAGAAGTGGAATGATGGCGAAAATATAACTAAACTGCAGTCGTATTCTTGCTCCGAATGAGTATGAAATGAACTTACTGTAGAAGTGTATTAACGCTGGAAATATGTATGGATCATGTTTTAATCGAGATGAAACTAAATCATGAATACTTGAACCACGTTGAATATCACGTAGTTCGCTACATGCTTTCAGAGCTTGTATAATAACCCAATTTGAACATGTCTCAATATGATTTTTATGTTTATCGATCAATTCTAATGTTTTTAAATATTGTCTATTATCATTTAATATTTTCATTCGATCACCAAGATTAGAATCAATAGATTGAATATTTGCTGAACGTTTTGCAACGATTGTTAGAGATATTTGACGATGATTAACCAATTTCTTTAACATAATTTTGTCTTGTTAAACTTTTTCAGTAAAGAATAGTAATGTTAATATTCTTTTTTTCTCCATTGGTTTTAAACACAATTAAATAGGATTTGTTCGGTGAACCATCAAATCAAGCTAAACACTAAATACGATTTACTTTAGAGGGCGTTAGAAATAAGATATTTATTGATGAATTCTTATATTTTAGCTATTTCAAGTCTTTAATAGAATATTTAGTTTGAATTTAAATACATTTTGATTTACTGTCTAGTCGCTTCTACGAAATTATTTGTTGTACATGGAAATAAATGCATATCTACATGACTATTTTACATTCACAAAAATTCATTCTATATGTTTTTATTTCTCCCTATTTAAAATCGGGATGAGTGCTCATCTTCTATTTTAGCACGCGCACACTAGAGCCCATCGGGTCCGGGTCTGAAATGCTTCTGAACAAGACCCAATCATTAGATTTCATTTGACAAAAAAAAATTGAATTTAATATTTTTTTTTAATTTTCGTTTTTTTATTCAAAGCAATGCAAACTGATCCGTAAAGAGCAGAAGACTTTCTTGGCTAGCAAAATATAATTGAATTGTGCTATTGTTTTTAATCGGGAAGCTCTTTCTTGCTTAGAAAGAAATTCATACCTTTTTATTTTTATACTTTTACATTGATACCATTTAGTAAGATGGCATGATTTTATTTTGCATGAACTACTTGATGACGGGTGTGGGCGTGGACGTGGAGTTTGCGTGAGGTTATTTATATTTCTGACAATCGTATCCGCACCTACACCCACATTCTAAGGACGGGGGCGGATGAAAAGCTAAATCAGCCTATAGTTTAAATTTTGAGGGCGTGGGTGTGAATACAGTTGTCAGAAATATAAATAACCTCATGCAAACTGCACGTCCGCAGCCACACCCACACATCATCACTACTGGTTGAATACTAAGGATAAGTATATTATCTGGAGTGATGTTTAGGGGATACAGTTTGTCTGAATGACAGTACTTTTCGAAGTGAGGTGGATCTTTTCTGTAACAATCCTTACTATATCTGCATGGTGTTCGTTTTTGTGCCGATATATTGTCAGAATATGAGCTTGATGCATCAAAAATAGTCCAACCAGCCATGGCTTGTTGTTCGGACGATAAAAAAATCAAGGCTCATAAAGTGTATAGACAAGGCGGTTCATCTGCTGATCCAAGACACACGAAGGCTACTTTGATTGGCTAATATCTTTAGTTTAAACGCTTGAGGTATCAATGGATGGTCGATTTTAGTGTGCCACCAACACGCAACAGTTGTGGTAGGTATTTCTCAATACGCTTTTTCACTACCTACTGACAAGCGCATTTTCTTTTCATTCTGCCTTCAAAGAATGATTCATACCAGAAAAAAGGATTACTCGACTGGAAAAAATTTACCGTCGTTACGGTAAATTTTGCTTTCTTTACGCTTGGCAATACATACGCTAGTATTTCTTCCAAGTTGGAAAAGAAAACAACGTTTATCGCTTATAACCTGTAGCAACGCTGAAAACAAATTCATATTAAAAACAATAAATGCAACATAGCTATATTCTAAGTGGTTCAACTGCTGAAGGACAGGGTTATGCCCGTCGATGGGCATCGAATCTTGATAAATTACAAGATTTAGATTTAATAAAATGTGTGCGTAAAATTGATAGTGAAAAAGAATTAATTTCGATTTCAACTATGCCAGTTTTCGTACTCGTGAAATGGAATAACAAGAAATTAGTACATTTACCTGTTTCTTATTATGGGGTTGAGCTCGACGATGATGATTCATCTCCTTCTATGCCTTTAGTGAATGGATTTCAAATGAAACGACGTCTGGCAGAACAGCTTGAACAATCGCCTCACTTTCCAGGTAAAAAGTCAGTAGCAACTGACAAGGCATCTGTTGAAACACAAGCAACATACATTGATCCAGCTGATGTAGACTCAGGTGGTAGAACATTCGAAAATAATTTAAAATTTATTGAAGAACAACGGTGTAAATCGAAAGATAAGAAATTAATGAACAAATTATTTGAAAATTTTGTTTACTATTGTCGTCAAGCAGCAACCAAAGAACAATAGCGGACTGATTATTCTTCGATGAAAGATCTCCCGGCTGCGTTTTCGGAAAACTTCTCTTCTTTCACGAGTCCTTTGAATCTGAACATACCAGAATACCAACTAAATTCTTTTCTTCTCTTATCACCAATATTCGATTGTCGTTTGCCAACAAATTATCTTAATAAATGCCGACTGTTATTAACATTTTATCAAAAATATAGTTTTCGGTTCCAAGATAAATACATCTGTTCTACCATTTATGAGTTCAATTATACAAAAAAGTACGACAGTCGATATGGATTACGTACCCGCATTAAAATTAAACTTTTGGCCAACAAATATGCAACCATTTCTTAACCGTTTGAAAAATCATCGTCCTTTACTATATGAGAAAATAAAAAATACCCACATGCATCTTGTACCAAAATGGTCACGCTTAACATCATTGTCTAATCAAGAATTTGAATTTCGTTATTCATTATCTGAAATTGAAGTTATTCTAGCTGAAAATCGTAATATGAGGGCAAAATGCTTAAATGGAATTGCAAGATCGATCTATTATAAATACCTGTACAGATCGACTGAATTAACATCCTATACTGTAAAAACAACTGCTTTATGGATGTGTGAAACATTTGAAATTGATGAAAAAGTGTCTAATGATGAACTGGCATATAAATGGATTGATTTTATGTGCAATCATTTGGAAATGGGCTATTGTCCTCATTATTTCGTTGAGAATTTAAATATATGGCAACATCACGAACGCGAAGATTTAAATAAAGCTCTTGACATCTTACGATCGAAAATTGATTTAAATGATCGAACGATTCCAACTAACGATTGTTCTAGATATTTTGATATATCACCATTGAAACTTCTGGATGAAGAACAAAGTGATTCCGAAGAACAGACCATAGAAAATCTTTCGAAAACATTTGACGAAGATTATAAAGAATTTCAGCGACAGTGATATGGTAGACCTATCATAGCAGCAAAATGTACGTAAAAGTTGTGATAATGCATCATTTAGGAGCATTATATTTCCATAGAGTTTACAATATTAAAGAAGGACCACATATTTGTGAACAGAAAATAAACGTCTTTTTATAGATGATTAATATATTGCAAGTGGTTAAGATCTACAGAGAATCTCTATTTCGAATTCGGGTAGAGAATATTGATCTGAAAATTATTTCTTTCGGTCGTGGCCTAGGTGAAAACGTTTTACTGTCATCGATTCATCTCCGATGAACATTTCGTGTCACTAATAATCCAAGTTTTTTGCTGATTTTCGAGAGTCTTTGGCAAATAAAAGTTTTTATCAAAGGCTTTGATTTGCTACTAATACGAGTATCCATTCAATATGAATAGATCGGAGTTGATTTTTAAAGACAATTAATTATTTAATTTCTTTCTCTCGAAAACGGCTATCATTTATTTTGAAACTGACGCGATCTAAATCTGTTGCTTTTGCCGTTAGAGTACGAAGAGAAAAAGACATGAATTTGTATCAAAAATCACATATTCAAAAAGACGGAGAGAATTTCTTAAATGATCGACAAAAGCTTTACGTTTCTAGAACTCTATTTTGTTGAATATAACTATAGTAGATATGCATACAAAGATGAAACTAACGGTAGAACTGGAAAACATACTAAAAACCTCTAGAAATAAGTAAAGTTTCTTGCTAACATTCAATTCCTTTACTATAAAAGTGTCAAAAACATGCAGGAAATCCATCGTGATTGTAAGTTGTTTTCCTTTTATTCCAAGCTTTAACGACTTGTTGCTGATAACTAATTAGTTGCCTTTTAATGTCAACTTCAACCGACATAACATAATTTGGCCACAGTTAGAACTTAATGAGACTAGCTTAATACCGCACAGATTCGAGCCCTTGGTTGATCCTTCTCGCGTTTTGACCGTTTTACTCAATTTTTATCCTCAGCTGAACCACCTGGAAAATAATCATGTAACGCAATTTGAACTTGAAATTTTGCACATAAGTAAATCTGACAGTTAGTATTAGATTGTTCTAAAAGGTTCACTTGAAACGTACCAATCCTTCTCGAAATATTGAATGATCAAGAAAGTTGCTGTTCTAAGCTTTCTCTGTGATACAATTATATTTTCTTGATCATTCAATATCTGAAGAAGGATTCATGTGTTTCAAGTGAAAATTTTAGAACAATCTAATAACTGTCAACTTTACTCAAACGCAAATTTCAAGTTCAAACTGCATTACATGATTATTTTCCAGTTGAGTCAGCTGAGGATAAAAATTTAGTAAAGCGGCCAGAATCCGAGAAGAAGAAGCGAAAGGCCCGAATCCTTTTGAACTTACACTAGTCTTTAAGTTCCATCTATGGACAAATTATGAGCCTGATCGGAGTCAGACAGTTTAAAACCTTCCATTGTAAATAGTGACTTTTAGATTTATATGAGACTGAATAACAATCGGGTTCGCTCTGATTGTGTAAAAATCCGATGACAGCAATAGTCCGTGTTTACAAGAGAGGAAAACAACAGTAAAAACTGCACCATCAAATCAATGATTAAAGTAAAAAACAGCAAAGCATTCACTCTGTTGATTCAGCAACTTAAGCATCTAGTCGTGTTCTTGATCAAAATATTCGTCGCGGTACCATTTTGCGGATCTCTATAAAAAGAAACCGTTTTTTTTTCGATGAGTTTTCTGGTTATTAAGTGTATAGAGTGCGTGCTAATGGTCTCGACCTATGTCCTCCAAGCTGTTCGGTAACCAATAGCTAATCGTTTGATTAATCGCGGTACTCGTGCTCACTTTCTTGTACAACTACAAAAAAAAGAACCGCTAACACTGTTTTGAACATACGGAGCTGACACGAAATGCAACACGATCTGAAAGGAATGTTAAAGTAGCTAGGGTAGAAATTTCGAGCCCCTCTCCGCTACGTGAATCGTGACAGAGAAATGAATTAATTAATTAACCAATTAAATAATTAATGAATTTCTCTGTCACGGTCTGTGGTGGTCTCTACAGGCTTCATACATTATAATACAGATCGTGACAGACAAGCTCTACAGACCATCACAGGCAGCGACCGCAAAGCTTCATATGCCATTACAGATCGTGGCAGGAAAACTGCAAAGGCTTACAGAGCGTGGTAGACGGGTTCCAGAAAAGAAGCTTCATTGTGTTTCACATTTTAATCCCACAGAGATTGCGCTAGCAGCTTTTTGAATTGTGATCGATATTTTCAAGGCTGATGTTACTTTTTTTACAAGTAAAATTGTAAACAGTCGTTAAGTGCAGAGAAATCGGTTTAAACCGTCAGTTTTCATATAAAATCGATGTCATAGGAATGTTTTTCTATCTAAGAATTATTTTACAACGAATTTGTATTCCTCGATGATTATGACATTATTTCTTTTTTCGGAATTTAGTAAACTCGACTTCACCCGCTTCGACATCGACACTTTTCGATGAAGAATTTCTTCATTACATGGATTTTCTCTTTATCATGTATTTGCTTGGAATGTGCGAAAATGATCGGCAAACAAATTGGTCTCAATATATGAAGCTGATACTAGATTACAATGATCAATGCGTTTATGAACCAGTTTTCAATGGCGATTCAATAGAAACAAGAAAGCAAACAGTATTGAGCTTCGTCACTCACCTTTTTTTATCAGCTAAAATGATTAGGTGGGTGTATGATCTCTGTTTAAATAGGGGATCAACAATGAATTCGACATCATCCTCGAACATTAATGTAGAATATCAAAGAACAATTGGCAATCAAAATCAGCAAAGTGATCATAATTCTTTAGAGTTTTTCACAGGTTCTGCACTAGCATCTATGATTGCAATGTCATCCTTAGCACCGGCTAACAATGCAAATATTCTGTTGGATCTGTCCAATAAAGATGACGCGGTAAACAACAATAACAGCAAAACAATACTCGAACAACATCCGTACAATGAACAAATTAATTTTGATGGTTTTCAAAGGCAATTCGAGCCATTGATGAATTATTCTCGATCATTACTATCAGATAACTTAGAAGAATCAAGTAATACTAAATATAATGCAAACTTAAATTATTCACACTCACAAATATGTACTATTTCATAAAGATTAATTTTGCACTTTTTTGAAAGAGAAGCGAACCAATGGAGTTTTTCAGGCATGCTACCTCTAATCTTGTTACTCTCGGAGAGATACACCACTATATGCATCTTGTAATTGACTGATTACTTGCCGATATTATAAGAGGCAGATACATTTTCATATTGTTCCTAACCGTTAGACCATCATTTATCAACATCGATCCTTTTAGAATTAGATAGGATTGAACGTAGACAAAAATAAATTTTAATCGTGCATGAAATTTAAGAAAAAATGTTTTTGTATTTTCAAAACTGCAATATTGTTCAAAGTTATTATATCAATATTCTACTTTGTTATATGTAAAATAGATATTTCTCTTTCAGATAACTCATGAATTAGATATAATTGTGACTTTGAACTCAAATTTAATACATGAAATTCTTTTTGTTCAATTAATCGAACGAAAGTTCAATGAAAAAGAATATGAAACTGGTTCAGAGCGTAAATATATATCGAATCACTTTGAGAAATTCAAAGAAATTAACTATTCGCGATAATCGAGATCTGCTCAAATGTTTCACGCGATTTCATATTTTGATAGAAACCTCTATTGAATGTGTACAACTTGAAATGTGCAAAAGAAATGCTGATAGAAGTTACGTACGAATATTTTCGAACGTGTATACGATTTAGTGGATCGCATATACAGCAATAACAATTCATCTGTGAAACAATGCACAACACAGTTTATTCGTAAAAGAAATAACAGAAAAACTGTTTGTGATATAGGCACAAAGAAACGATGTAATTGTAATTAACAAAAGAAACATGATAATGTTATATTATTTTTCGACGCTTGTTTGGTTTTGCTGTTGGATTATGTTTATTTATCAGATCGCCTAAATGGAAATCAACATAGTTAAATATGTGACTTCCCAGGAGAGTCATTCCGAGACTAGGATCCTATAGGATTTCGATAAGGGTCAAACCGTGAATATACCAAATATCCATGGATTCAAATAAAACTAACGAAATCCTATAGGATTCCGGGATCAGGACCTACAGTCGGATCCTTTGTGTAGGAATTCCATAGGATCCAGTGTTGGAAATTAACGGAATCCGACATGAACATATGACCCTAGTGTTCTTATGAGAAAACATGCATATTCACCCCTAATTAAGAAAATGTTTTTTCCGTCGGAACCGACAGTCAATCCGTAACCCGGAATCCCATCGGATTCTGTTGGGTGGTAGGATCCCATCAGATTCGATAGGATCCGCCATAGGATTCATTCACTTGGGTTGGAATAAATCTCACCATTCATAAATTGTTCGACTCGGTCTTGTCGTAAGTTCAAAAATAAAGCCTCACAATTGTCGCTGTTATCTGTATAAATAGAAACTGTTTTATCAGATGAATCAGAGCGAATAAGAATTTTACCTCCATTATTGATTTGTTCCATCAAAATAGAACGAGCCTTTTCAAACTCCCAGGCCGAACATTCCAGTCCCGGAAACGGCCGGTTCTGTGGTATTCCGGAGATTTCATGGAAGCAGTATTCCGGTGAAAGGATCCGGTTCCGGCAGGAATTGACAGAAACCTGTCAAAACTGGTAGCCGGATACGGTTTCCGGATTCCTGCATCGAATTCCGGACAATTCCCGGTGGGTTCCGGCCGGAAACAGCGAGTTTCTTGTAGGTTTTCGCCGGAAATTCACGGAATACTACTTCAGGAATTATTGTCCTGGGTGCTCTTGAATCATAGACTTTCTACAAGCAAAAGTGTATGATATTGTACATTTGAAAAAATGAATAGATTCGCTTACAGTTTTAATACTAATAATAATCCAGAAATATTTCCTGTTTGTTCAAGTATATTTATATCATGTAATACATCTAGAAAAAAATAAAGACGATAGATGAGATGAATCAAATGAAGCATACCCTTGTATTTTTTCTCTTCATAATTAATCAGAACTCGCTGACGACGAAATTCTCTTTTTTCTATTTCAGACACTGATTTATCTACCAACAAATTTGTTAACATCTGCAAAAGTTTAAAATTTTATTATAAAGCCCAATGCAGAAGCAATTTTTACTTTTATTTGTTTGTTATTATCATTGCAAAACATCTTAACATTTTCATTGAACACCGACATTTTCCAAGTACAAGATTATCGCGGTTCAGATTTTATAAGGGTTATTCTAACTTTATTTTTCATGGTCAGAGGATCAGGTGAACCATAATGAAAAAAAAAAGAAAAAAGATCTTGAATGTGAAGAAGGTAATCAGCCGACACCATCTCTGGATAGCGTAAGATCTCCATCATGGTGGTACCGAGTGTATCATGTTTCATTTAATTCAGTAGTAGAAGAAAAATCAGTACGATGTTTGCCGCTATGTGACATCAGAACAGCAGAACTAAATTCGTTTTGATCTTAGAAGTTGACATGGATATAATTCTGAGTTTGATGTTGAGCAATTGCCATTTACTTCAGTCGCATGTCCGCTGTGATTTTCGGCTCGACATTTTTTTCGAAGATGCATAATATTAAATGGAAAAGATCGTGTGCTCATACTTGAATGTTTCAAGAGAAATAGATCAATAAAACAAAAATGTATAACGATCGTGATGTATATTCTCTTTAATGAATGGATGAAAACGAATTGAAAACGAAACTCGATAACGATAATTTTTGTTTTCGTTTTCGTTTCCTCTCTCGTATGATCAACTAAGTGAGCGTATCATGGGAGAACTATATCCACATTATTTTTAGAAATGTCTACTTTTCATCACATTTGCTCTTGGTTAACAACTTATATGTCGATAATTACCACCCTGTTACCATATTCTAAAATGAAAGATAAGACTTTTTGTGGAGACTTCTTTGCAATGAATTTGTTTTTGGAATAAGACACGCCATGAAAACATAAAATATACTAGCTCCCTCTACTGAAAGGAGGGTCTTACGAAAAGTGAGTTAAATGCGTTCGTTCGTGTGTGTGTCCGTTCGTTCGTTCAATAGGAAAGCAGATGCATAAACTAAACTAACCTCTAACAATATCTGTAGGCATAGGTTTGACCGAAGGTAATCGGGGGTCGGGGAACACGATGGCGTTGTCAGATTTTTGAGATTTTGCTTTTTGTTTTTTTAGGAGAGAGAGGGAGACTTTTTTACAAAAAAATATTTTTTTTGTATGGGTTGACCGAAGGTAATCGGGGTCGGGGAACAGGATGGTGTTGTCAGATTTTTGAGATTTTGTACTTCAAGCAAGTTTGTAACGGATTAGGAGCTGTTTAGATCGTCACATTTTCTTGATAGGGATGCTTTGTAGGGAAATTTTTTGAGGATACCATTCGATGATGTTTACAGTGTTAGATGTATGGTATGGTTATGTGAGATGTTGTTACTAATAGGCTATAGGCATCGTGCGGTTGAATTGATTATCAATTTGGGAGCGGCTAGCCGTGAGTGGCGCTCCATAGGGGCGCCGACGAACGACTAGCCGCTCACCTGCACTGAGAGTTTGAAAGCTTTTCTCAAAATCTTCAGTTTATTCTTGATATGTCAACTTTTATTGCACCACGAAGAATTTATTCAAACTTAACTCCTAGAATTCTAGATTAGCGCATCTACGAACGGACGCAAACTGATAAGTACTAGGGAATCATGTCTCATTCTTCTGTAAATTGTGATGAATTCATCGCATATGTAGATGTAACTGAATTAAATTAATCCCACAACTGTTGTTTTCGTTTTTTTTTGAAAATTCTCTTCGTTTTTATCTAATAGTTATAGAATGAGGTAAACCTTTTCAATCAATAATGCAGTGTTTAAAAGGATCACATTCAACGCATATATGAGACAAAGCAAGTGGGGGTGGCTAGTCATGAGTGGCGCTCCTCTGGGGCGCCGACGAATGACTAGCCGCCCCCACTAGTTGAAAAACTGTTGTTATTATTGGACTACTCGCCTTTCAGACTTATAGAACAGTTACACGTTCTCTCGATCAGAACAGTTGAAACAACTTTCGAAAATAGGACATATTCTAAATTTCTTCCGACGACAGGTCGTGAAATAATTGCTCAGCGCATGTGAAATATTTGAAATTTATATTTGTCGTGATTATCTTAATAAGTTTAGTTTTTCCCGGTTGCGAGTGGGTTTGATTCAAAAGATGTAAATCTCAGATTTACCTATGTGTGAACGTGCACTCAAGAATGAATATATCCGTTCTAGACGGGAAACGCGCCGAAACAAAATGAACTCACATGAGGTTGAGCAAAAATTAGGACAAATCTGACAGAAATCGAGTTAGAAAAAGACACTTGATGTAATCTCTGATCTACTCGTGCAGATTCATGTTAAATATCTAGTTCATAGACCAATTTGAGTTGTAACTTTACTAAAATGGAGTATTTCGATCATGGCTCTCATGAATGGGCCTTTTTCTTCACTCCGCTATTAAGCTGATCGAAGGTTTTTGGGGGCGTAGCTTGAGCTGTAGCAGATCGGATGCACTTAACTTCAGTATCGCCATATATATTAGTAAGTAGTAATTAAATGCCGCTTTCTTGGTGATACTTCCAAGCAAGTTTTCTATTTATGCTCGGTTATCAATCGTGCTTTCCATGAAAATCGTTTCGAAGCTAGAAGCTATAAAATGTGAAGTCTCTCAGCTAGATAGTCTTGGATAGCTACGCGCCACATGACTAAATCCTTTCAGTAGAGGGTTGGCGACGCAAACGTCGCGTTACTTTGTGTTTCTAGCGAGGACGCTAAACCTGTAAAGGTTTCATTCGTTTCTAAATAGACCATCGAGAGTTCCAGCTAATTTAAGGAACCATGTGAGATTACAGATGGTTCCAGATGTTTGAAAGAGTTCTATCTTGCACCATTTTTTCAACGATAGTTCTGGCTTGAACCAAGATGCAGTATTTTCTGAACGCGCTTTAATTAATGTAAATCTGAAATAGTTTTACTTATTCAAGATAATAAGGATACAAGAAGTGACAAACGCC